GTAATTAAATATAATTGTAATTTTTTAAATTATGAAATGAAAAATTTTAGAACTAAATACCATTGTTAGTAACGGCTACACTTCAAGATATTTTTTGATATACATGTAAACAGGGCCGTCCCTGGTGGGGGAGCGAATTGGGGTGACTGCCGCAGGTCCTGTGCTTTGGGGGGCCCTCTGGAGCCAGACATAGTGGCCGTGGTGACTCTGTGCCATCATCACTGGCTTCGCGTCCGGCCACTCACTACCACCACCCCCAGCCACCGCCATCCTTCTTCATATTTAGGGCGTGTGGGATTGGGGTAGGGGTGGGGCCACACATGAGCTGATTTGCCCTGGGCCCTGCACCCTGCTCTGCTTATAAAAGTCCTAGATCCTATTTGCTGTGCTCTTTTTGGAAATGACTATTAACATACTAGGCAGTTATTAACTTCTAACAAAATATTTATCCAATACTTTGATACCATGTTAAGGCAGTTATTCTTTCAAAATAGTGCAGGGTCCATACTCTCTTAGTAAATTAAATGGGAAGACTTTTTAAAAAATTCAGTAAGACAGCTTCTGAGTCTTCAGAGAATTAATAGAAGTTGAAGTTACTTGCTTTGAACAAAAAACTCATGGGAAAACAGCAGAGAATATTTGTAGCGTCATATGAGAAATAATGATTGTTATAGGGTGCACCAGGAGAAGATGGACGTCCAGGCCCAGCAGGATCAATAGGTATTCGGGGTCAGCCAGGCAGCATGGGTCTTCCAGGACCAAAAGGCAGCAGTGTGAGTACAATGCTTCTTAATCAGCATTTAATTATCTAGCTAGCTTTACTTTCAGAGGCAAACATACTTATATGGAGGAAAATAATCTCTAAAAATTACAACTTTTCTTTCAAATTAGGGTGATCCTGGAAAACCTGGAGAAGCAGGCAATGCTGGTGTCCCAGGGCAGAGAGTGAGTATTATTTTTATATTTTTTTATTGATTATACAAAAGCATATTTTTTTATTATGCTTGTTTGCTATACAAGAAGTTTTCTTCTTTTGTTATGTTGCTTTAGGGTGCTCCTGGTAAAGATGGTGAAGTTGGCCCTTCTGGTCCTGTTGGTCCACCTGTAAGTCAACTTTTCAACATCTGTCTCTCTGCCTCTCTCTCTGTCTACCCAACCTATGCTTCTGCATAGATTTCCACCTGCAGATTAATGTTTGATCTCAGAGTTTAGGCCATTTATACCAGCATGTAATTTAGCCCAGGATTTTAAAATGATCTAATTTGGTCTTGTCCAAGTTTCACTTTTCTCTTGAAATGGAATAAACAGTAATAAATAACAATGATAAGAAATCGTTGCAAATATATTGTATTAGTAGATATGAACCTTCAGGTAGAGAATACATACAGGGAACCTGGCTACATTGCTACGCTGTACAGTCCTCTCTTCTTTTTTTAGGGCTTAGCAGGGGAAAGAGGAGAACAAGGTCCTCCAGGCCCCACAGGCTTTCAGGTATGTATAACAGCATTTTTCCCCCACCAAAATAATTAGGGCGCTTTTTTCTTTGTAATCTGAGAAATTTGAAATAGTGATATTAAAAAAAATCTACATAACGAAGATAGTGTTTCTAAGAATATTTAGTAGATCTTAGCTCCAGCCATGGCTATACGTTAAGCATCTTGGTTAGCAAAAATGCTTATTTACCATTTCATATTTTGATGTGGCAAAATTTTAGAATGGGTGGAGACCAGAGAGCATGTTTCAGTTTAGCAGATACCCAAGAGATGAACACTTTAGTTGATTTGATAGTACTGTGGACAGCAGAATCAAACCACAAGATCTTTGTATAAAAAGGTCTTAGACATACACACTGCACATGACTGGATATAAAAAGAAAGAGAAGCTGTGTGTCCTTTTCCTGGAATGCCAGAAATTTGATTGGGATCTTTGAGGACAAAACATGCCCCTTTTTTCCTGTGTGTGAAACTACTGTATATGAAACTAACAATGATTATATTATTTCAATTAATCTATATGCACAATGACCTTTCTGTCTTTTAGGGTTTGCCAGGGACACCAGGTCCTCCAGGGGAAGGAGGAAAGCCAGGAGATCAGGTGAGATATTTGTAACTCAACAAGACTTTTACTGAGTTTTGCTTGCTTCATAAAATGGTTTTACTTTTTTTCTTCTTGAATTATTAGTTTCCAGTTCTCTTTAGGCTAGGTTCTCCCACTCTGAATCACAGGAAATTTTGCCATATTCTGCAAAAAGGTCTCTGATGACTATTCATTGAGTAACATACTTAGCATGAAGAAGGGGTGCAAAGTCTGGATTTGATTAAATTATCTTCTTTTTTCATGGACAGCCTGCATTTGGAATTCCCCACTTGCATTCACACCACTGCAGACTACTAAAATCTTTTATATCTATTTTCCATACCTAAAAACGTGTTCTGAATAATGCTTTATTTCCAACTCTCATTCCTCTTTTTCACAGGGTGTTCCTGGAGATCCTGGAGCTGTAGGCCCATTAGGTCCAAGAGTAAGTATATCTCTCCCAAACCTGGCCTTTGGGGTTCTACTGTGGCACTAAAAACCTGTGTGATGTGAAACAACTTTTAATTTACTCATTCATAAAATTATTAAAAAATATATTAATTTTTACTTACAATACTGGTGCTATGGAATTATCAGTAACAATAGTTTCATAGAGCTCAGTTATTGTAAAGCATTTTGAAATCTTTGAAATGAAGAAATTATATGATATATTTCATGAAAAAGGTGCAATTATTATAAAAGCTTTATCACATTATGTATCTCTAAAGATTAAAAAAAAGGTTGGCTTGGTTGTTTGTTCAGCCCTTCCATAAGGCATTTCCTGAACAGAAGTTGTCTATTTGAACAGTATTTCCATTTTCAAGCACATTTATGATTTTTTCTATTAAAGATATCTGCAGACTACCAGATAATTCACAATATATGTTTCATAGGGTGAACGTGGCAATCCAGGGGAGAGAGGAGAACCAGGTGCACCAGGACTTCAAGGTGAAAAGGGTATGGCTGGAGGTCATGGTCCTGATGGTCCAAAGGTACATTATATAAGAGACATGTATTTTTCTTATTTTGTTTACAAATCTTTTTGGTTGGAATATTCTTATAAAAGGTCATCTTATTTGCATAAGGCCTACAAGAGGACAGTGCTTCTGCAAAGTTCATTGAATTTATTCCACCAAAAAATTAATATAATGCAGAAATCACACTATAATGAGGCATTATGTTTTTCATTCAATTTACACTGATAAAGCTTCTTGAAATAAGGGATTCAGAGGTTCCTAAAATTCCGGGAGAATCTTGTTTGTTTACAATACGGAATTAAGCATGGGTCTGAGGCTCATAAGGAAACATAATCAGCTTGCAGCTACCCCTATGGTGGATATCTTGTGCTGCTCCAGGCACTCTTAGATCAGAGCTGCATTGGTTGTGACATGGGATCCCTTCATTTTGTAGAATTGCCATGCTGCCACCAGATTTGTTACAGTGTGCATAAGTAGCATAGCTCTGAAAAGCAGGGCACAGTCAAGGAATCTCTATTCTTGGCAACACCCAATTAGATATTAGTAAATGACACATTGAAGGCTGATCTAATTTTCTTCAGGAAAACTAGTCTGACATTAAGGCTAGGGACAGACATTCAAAAAAGCCTGAGTCTGAATTGATTCAATCTTTGCAGGTTAGTCTAACCTGGCTAGGCTAAATCACTTTGTAACTGTACAGACATTCCCTTCCACAGAGCTGAGCTGAGGGGTTGTGGCCAGGCCCCAGCATTTATCACCTCATCAGAAAACAAGCAGCCTCTCTCATTAGTTCAAGCTTTTCTTAAAAAAAGAAGGAATGCAGGGACATTACCAGCTGAGCTGTTGAGAAGGTGACACTGCTGTCTGTCACAGCACACACCATATCTACCATGTAGTCTGCTAGCTAATGCTGTATGTCTGTGTAAGGCAGAGGAGAGGGGGGATCCCTGCTTAGCAGAGAGTGGTGAGGGGAAGGGGAGAGCAGGAGGAAGCCAGGCAGACACTGTTGTGCCTGCATATCTCTGCCAGAGCTGCAGCCAGGGAGCAGAGGGGAGGGGCCAGCCCTGCTGTGGAGCAGGGAGCCCTGCCCAGCCCAGAGAGCATGCCAAGATGCTGGGGAAGTCTGGTTTAACTTGAACCAGCAAGGGGTCTGGGACAGATATTGCACAAACCAGTTTGACCCAAATCAGTTAAGTATGATACTACATTCAACCAGGTTTATTTCAAACTGGTTTCAGCCATTTTCGAACTGGTTTATGTGCACTGGACAGCTGTTCTGTTACAGGTTTAAACCAGTTTCTGATCACTTAAACTGGTTTATATGTAATGTCTGTCCCTAGCCTAAAGGTCCAGAGGTGAAAAGTCCCAAAGTCCACCTTATGTGCTTCTTCTATCTCATGGTCTCCCTCCATTGCCAGACACTACACTCATGAATACCTGCTAGAAAGAGGTGATAAACTGAAAGTAATACAGTGGCTTTATTTTCTGAAAAATAAAATGGGAAAAGAAAAAAATGTTGGGAGATGAACAAGATCCAAGTTAAAGACAAAATTGCTACTTGCAAATATACTTTTTTGCAGAAGAGGGGAAAGGGACCTATTGGTGGGAGTCTACT